CAGATCAGCTGGAAAACGTTAAGGCTGTGCCCACCGCAGGAAGGTATTTGAGCACTAATTCTGCTGGGGACAGATTCTCAGGGCGCTGCCTCTGGAGAGCGAGCCGCCCCGCAGGGAGAGCCTCCACCCAAGCGACCGTACCTGGAAACTGCCAAAGCAGCTCCCTCCCGGCAAGGTGACGTAGCAGACGTAGGGGGGGCTGTTGGAAGGGACCATCTCGTACACCACGAGAGCTCCGTTTTTCAGATCGGCGCCACGCGACTGCTTCATCTGCCAGAACTCCTGAAGGGCCTCCACGACGTTCACTGAGGAGACAGAAACAGAATCAAGTTCAGACACAGAAAACAAGAGCCTGGGAAGCCGGTTTCCTCAGGTATCACCCGCCGGGAGCGGCCGCATCCAGAAACAGAACAGCATAAATGTCGGTGTATTCCCACCTACGCAAGCAGGGCCCTGCCCAGGGAGCTCAGTTATGTCTCCTATTAAAAAACCTCGGCTTCAAGGGAAGCTGTAGGTGCAGGATGTCAACACAAACACGCCTCTCCCAGCGAGAGGAACCTAAGGAGAACCGCCGAGTGATAAACCAAAGCTTCCTACAGAAAAGCTCTTCTCGTTCCAGCAGACTTGGGGAAAAGCTTTCAGAAGAGGACTGGAAAAAGGCTGCAAAGCAGCAGGGCAGCGAGGCATTTTTCCTCCGTAAGAGGGCTGTCAACAGGCTCAGCGGGTTTGCCCACCTGCCTCACCGGATCCTCAATATTGACATTCTTACATTTAAGATAAAAACACAGCAGCTGACCTGCGCGTGCACTGTCAGACCTGCAGAAACCACCTGCCTTTACGCTGAACATCGCGTACCCAGCTCAAAACGACACGACGGAGACACGAGAAGTGACCTGAGGCGTAAAGCTACCCAGCTGAGGCCTTCTGGCAGAACTCCCTGTAATTTGGGTGGGAGTATTTGACTTTGCCACATCGAGAGCGTGCGACAACAGCACAGAGGAGAATGGAAACATCTGCTCGGAGAATCTCGATTGTGCCGTTCGGCACGGGGGGGACGTGTAACCTGACGGCGAACCGCAGGCTGAGACCAGGGTTAGCTTTGTTACAGTAAGTGCTTTTTTCCATCCCGGTTCGGAAACCAGAGCCTACGACGTTAGCCCTCGCTGACTTCGGTAATTGCGGTCTTTTCAGGAGAAGTCGTTTTTAAGCAGGCACCTCTTCCGGAGCACCAAATTTGCTAGACGGGGTTCGAGCACTTACCCAGCTTTAAGGACCCAGCAGCTAGTCCACACCGCGCACAGCCAACCAATGCACACCGCCCTCGCGGCAATCAGCTTGCGGCCCAAATCCATGGGATTAAATTCGTCTTATTTCAGTAGGCATGCAAGAACTAGAGGTGCTGCGACAACGAGGCACCTGTCCGCTCTCTCTCCTCATTTTTGAACCCCCAGCGCCGCGAGGATTTCCTTTGATTTACCCACCCTTTACCTTGTCAAGGTTTGGGCAAGAAAAACGACCCTCGTAGTGTCTAACGCTCCGATTCCCATCGAATTTGCTCCAAGCTTCTTCCTGTGCTGAAGAGTTTGACAGGTAGCTGTAGGAAAAGCCTGCCCTCAGCTCCTCCTCAGCGCTCCCTCTCTGAGCCTTCTTAACCTCAGCGATCGCTTTGAAGCAAGGCGATCTGCAAAACAGATTACAGCAGCCCCTCGCTAACGCAAGAGCTGTTAAAAGGACTCCACCCGGAGTTCTCCTTTTAAGCAAAAGGAGAAGAATGCCCCCAAACCCCCACGCAAGCTCGCCCGTGAGGAGCTGTGCGCAGCGCAGCGAGCACCGAGGCAGAGCACCGAGCGAGACGGGGCTGCTCTTCTCAAAGTCTCCCGGGGTAAGACACAAAAGGGAGGCGGATTTGAGGCCGCGCGCGAGGGCGAGATGCCGAGTCCATCACGAGCCACCCCCGGCTTAGCTTTTCGGTTGCCCACACGGTGCTGTAACGTTTCAGGTCCGCAGCCAGGCGGCTTTCAGGAAGAGAGCGAGCTTGAGCCTTTTACTTTGTTTTATTGCTTTCTGTAAGACGAAGCCGGGCGAGGAGTCACTAGCACAGTAGTTCCTCACTAAGCATTTCCCTCCTCTTTCAACCACAGGCTTTGCAGGGCATTTGTTCATAAAGCAGTCGCTTTGGATTGTTTTCAAGTTTAATTTGGGGTTGGGTTTTTTTTTTTTTTTGGTGAAACATGCGAGACGGGGGCAATTTTCCACTGAAGACTAACAAAAAGCCGTACAAACAATACGCGGTTCCCTGCCAGTTCTCCAGGGCACCAATACCCAGACAGAATTCCCATCCATCCGGGCAGATTCCCTTCCCCGGGACAGGGTAAGTCATGCGCATAATCCCCAACGGATTTGGGGAGACAATGCCCGATTCAATAACGGCTTCAGGGACACGCACGACTTCGCAGCAGCGACCACACAAGAAACTGCAGAGAAAGCCGAGCTACGTCAGGCAACGCAAATTCCCACGACACACGGAATGACTCTGAAAACTCAGAGAAATTCTAGTTTGGTTGAATTTAGTGAAGTCTGAGAAGCTGGCGTCAAGAGCAGGTCAACGAGGAGACGCCGCGCAACACGTGCACGGGCACGGAATTGCGTTTTCAGCCCAAGACAAGGGTTCCTCTAGGCCGGACACCGGCTGGGTGCTTCGTTAGCGACTGGAGCAATAGGTCAGACAGCTGAGAAGCATCCAAAAGAGGTTTTCCTCACAGATGAGATTCAATGCTCCCAGCTGCCGCAGGCAGGACGGTTTTCGGAGACGAGGGAGTAAAACACCTCATTGAAACTCTACAAATGCTTCAGAACAATATGCTTTTCTAGGGCTGGAGAGCAAACCGCGTCGCTACGAACAGAGATCTGCCCATCGACCCTCTCCTTCCCAGCGCGGCTCCAGCCACAACGCCGCACAACGTCGTATTCAGCAGACGAACACCGGCTGGGCACCGCAGCGCGCTGAATCCAAAGTGAAATCTTAGTCTGAATTTGCTCCGGATCGATGACTTTCAGCCTGCTCGTTCACCCCCCTCCTCCCATTAAATCACGAAATAGCGACGAGGGGGAAGGAGGCGGGAGGAGCGAAGTTTGCTTTTCAGAAAGCATCCTAAATCCCGTGATGTCTCACGCTTGTGAGAGGACGGTCCTCGAGAAGGCAGGGACACCTCCTGCACCCTGAAGGATTTTAATCCCGGGCGGAGCACGAAACGCAGCGCAGCGCTCGGGCCGGGGAGAGGGCAGAGAGAAGAACGACTGGATGGTTTGAACGCAGGTAAAGACGCTGAAGAAGCGACGTACTCTTTGCACCACACGTGAGGTCGCGTTTAGCGGGAAACCCAACATGTAAAGAAAGCTATTTTAAGTGCCTGCAAGCAGAACAAGTCTCTCTACCAGCTCAAAACTCCAGAACTCTGACTATCGGCATCAGCCGGTACCTTTTTTATCTGTTTGCTTGCGTTCCTGAGGGCAGGAACTGGAAACGCTGATCTTCCAGAAAACCTTTGTCGCCCGTCTGCGTGGGGGAGACCCGCAGATTTACAGAGCACGGCTTAACCCACCCGGGGCGGCTCCTGCCAGAGGCTTACCCCTTGGGATTTGCCGCTCCGCGAAAAGACGAAGAGAAGCTGGGAGACACAAAGCAGAGCCTGCTCTGACCACCAGTCGTATCTGTTTATTGCTTTGGAGCGCAACCCCGTATCCCGGCGTTGTGTATACGATAGCACATCTGACTTGCATATTAAATACAGAAGGGTAAGTGATTCCACATGGCGCTGAGCTCCTCCGGAGCCAGACGAGCAGCGGTCCCCCCGCACGCCGGTGGCGCTGACTGCCAAGGCCTCACCATTTGCAAGCGT